TAGTAGATACGGAGGCGGCTGTGTCTCTAATAGATAAGAACTTATGTGCGAGTGTTAGTCCATGCTCATTGACAGTACAAACGGTAGGTGGGCACGTATTGCGTATCACGGGTAGATCGAACTGCACGGTCGTGGTTGGCAGCTGCGAGGTGACGTTCCCCTTCATTGTTGTGCCCGAATTACGACGGACGATACTTGGCGCGGATTTTCTGCGGGAGATTGGTGCGATAATCGACACGCAAGCGAAGGTTGTGATCACGAAATACGGACGTATCAGCATGTATGAGACCAGCGAGATAGCAGCGGTTAACCTGTCAAAGGTACACAATGTGACAGAGTTAATTAATAAATACGATCATCTGTTTACTGGAGATGGGGACCCATACGGTTATTGCGATAAGGTGAATCATGAAATTCCGTTAAGTGGACCGAAAGTAACGTCATTTACCACGCGAAGAGTTCCATGTCATTTAGAAGGCGAAGTTGAGCGACAGGTGTGAGAGATGTTAAAAGATGATATTATTGAAGAAGCTGATAGCCCGTACAACTCTCCAGTGCTGTCAGTAAAAAACGCGAATGGGAAGTATAGATTCTGCGTTCATTTTCGACAGTTAAACAGTATGACAGAATTTAGACCGTGTGCCATGCCAACAGTAGTAGAAACTTTAGATCGCCTACAAGGCGCAAATTTGTTTTCAGTTCTCGATCTTCGCTCAGGATACTGGCAGATACTGATAAAGCCAGGTGATAGAGATAAGACGGCATTCATCGTGGGTCAGACACAATATCGATTTAAACGCATGCCGTTTGGACTAGCAGATGCACCGTTCACGTTCAGACGACTGATGACGCTATTACTTAAGAACTTGAAAAACGTTGAGGTGTACGGTGATGATCTCATCATATATAGTCAAAACGAAAACGATCATGTGAACCATGTGGAAGCCGTGCTGCGACGCATCGAAGAGTTTGGACTGCGCGTCAACAAAACCAAGCCTCAGATAGCCAAAAAGAATGTAACTCTTTTGGGACATAAAGTGGGAAATGGTGAGATTAAACCACTACCGGAGAAAATCTTGACGATAAAGATGATCCCGGCCCCGAATTCAAAGAGAAAATTGAGACAATTCTTAGGTAGAGCAGCGTTTTATAGTCGCTTCGTGAAGAACTTCAATGAGATAGCAGCCCCTCTGTACAGGCTACTAGGTGAACCGAAGTTTGTTTGGTCGGAGGAATTGCAGAAGACATTCAACAGGATTAAACAGCTGCTCGACCACCAACAAATGACACTAAAGCTACCAGTACCTGGAAGACAGTTCACAGTGTGCACAGATGCCAGTGACTACGCCATAGGTGCGGTCTTAAGACAGGGTGAGGGAATCGTTGAGTATGCCAGTCGGGTTTTGACACACACAGAGCGAAAGTATTCAACGATAGAGAAAGAATGTTTAGCGATGGTATGGGCAATCGACAAATGGAGACCTTATTTACTCGGCCGGCGGTTCCACATCGAAACGGATCATAAGCCGCTACAGTTTCTGAAGACAGCGAGAGACCCACGAGGGAAATTGTCACGGTGGATGTTGCGTCTTCAGGAGTACGATTTTACCATCTCACACGTTCCTGGAAATGAAAATGTCTTGGCAGATTTGTTATCGAGACCAGAAGACGAGTCTGAGTTGCCCGAGGTCGCTTACGGAGTGCATGCAGTAGAACAAGACCCACTAAGACTGGCACGCAGACAAAGGTTGGACGATACGCTGAATACAGTAATACAGGTGATCACTAACGGAATAGAAGTGGATCCAGCTACAGCGAGTAAGGAGCTAACCACACTACTCAGACAGAGAGATCGACTAAGAGTGAATGTCTACGGGACTCTGACCTGGCGAGAGGACGACGGAAGCTGGCTAGCTGTCATACCTCAATCGTCGCGCCACCACATGATAGAAGAATGCCACCAGCTAGCACATACCAGAGTGGCCAGAACAACCGACCTCTTGAAACAAAGTATGTACTGGCCAGGTATGAGAGAAGACGTAGCAAGATATGTACTTGGATGTCCACGGTGCCAGCTAATGAAAGGCGACCGGTGCATACGACCACCACTTCAGTCGATTCCAGTTACGGCGATAGGTGACTTGTGGTCCGTAGATGTTATGGGTCCATTTCTTCAGACATCCAATGGTAATCAGTACCTCTTGGTGATGACGGAACACGCGACACGATGGGTAGACGCCGTAGCAATCCCAGACAAACGCGCAAGGACCGTGACAGATGCAGTAGTTAGACACATCGTTGCAGACCATGGCGTACCAAAGACAATACTGACAGACCAAGGTCCGTGTTTCGAAAGTGAAGAATTTACTTCCCGTTTGCAACAGCTTGACATCAAGAGGATCCGAACGACCCCATACCATCCACAAACGAATGGCCTGACGGAGAGAAACAACCGTACGCTGGAGGAGTGGCTGGCCTCGAAGGGCGGTAACTGGGAAACAGAGCTGCCACTAATTCTACTAATACATCGTGCCACCACCCAGGAAACAACGAAAAAGTCACCCTTTCAACTGATGTATGGTAGAAAACCACGATTACCGATACACAACGAAACCTGGCCCCTTCACCAAAAGTGGAGTACGACAAAATTAAAAGCAGAACGGAAAGAAGCCGTCAAGAATGTAATGCAGAAGCAGCGGAGGGATGTCGCGAAGTCTCAGCTGAGAGAAAAGATTCAGTGCATTACCTTCTCAGTCGGGGACCAAGTGTAGGGACAGAAGATATGCTGTCGGATGCGGGCCAGGTTCACGCAAACTCCTTCCAAAGTGGGAAGGACCATACACAGTCACAAAAAGGCGGGGTCAAGTATATACCATCAGAAGAGGTGACAAACAAAAACGAGTTAACGCCAGTCAGATCCAACGATGGGTGCATTGGGACAAGCCGGTCTGTAACAATCATCAACTAGAGGATGCATCACCCAGAAGGTCGGAACGCCTGCGCGCGAAGCTATTTGACGGGGGGACGAGTGTGGTGAGAGCTGTCTACTAGCCAAATTGGTAGACAGTAATTTACGTCAATGTTTACGTTCCCAAGATTTGTCGTGAGAAAATGTGAACAAAGATTGATTCAAAACCGACCACAGCAGACTTTGCGTAGGCGGATGCAGTTAACATATAGGTGATTTGACATTCAAGAAACAGTCACAAAGAGATGAAAGATTAATCTTAAGTGAGAAACAACCAATCGGAAGACTGTGTTTGTTCGCTTAACTATCCATAATAATGTACATGAAAATATATAAATATGCGTTGATTTCCTTAATAAATGATCTGTTGCCTGACTCTTGCCTTCTGTCGTTACACTACTGCCAGGCAGATCAAGGTGATCTAAACACCAGGATGGCCATTTCGCTCGTCTCGGGGCGAGCTCATCAGCGGTATGGCCAAATCAGTAGCTCAAATCTGAGAACCGAATCAGTTCAAACCACACCTGATTTCTGGCTGGCTAGCTACTTGGGCGAACTGACCATGCCATAAATCACCTTCATAATTTCCAAATTAATTAGCGGTTTGCAATGTACACAGTTCGAGATATGAAATTTCACCATAGTTTTCTTTGGAAACCAAATTAATTCGAGCACCATAAATTGTGATGAAGAAAGCAAGCAAATTTGCATTGAACCAAAACCACTGGTCGTTGGAGATGACCGAGTCGTATGCAACTACTCATCTCTTCTTTTTATGATTGAAGTGGAACTCACTATACTGTTGTTCAATACATTGGTTACTCATCATCTTACTCACCTCTTGTCTTTACCATGACACTCCTCTATCATTTTATGCATACGTTGATTTTGTCTAAACTTGAACTTTCTAGGTAAAAACTATATAAGTGTAATTTTTCTGAGTACTGTTCATTAAATTTGCAGCCTCTTGCCCCCACCTAAAATATCGTGTAAAATTTGCAAGTATATTTCAAATTGTTTCTGTACATATACTTAATAATTTTCTTTAGGTTGTAAGCAGATGATGAGAAGGCAATGAAATAAGCAATGATGATATCATCATTCTATTCTACACACATCATCATCATCGTTGTTCTTGTTTTACTCAAATTCATTGAAAGGCGAATAAAGCAAGAACTACAGTTTCAGCAGAATAAAGTGGTACCATCTTTTACTTCGTTGCCTTCTCGTCAGCTGCTTACAGGGCAAAGACATTATTAAGTATATCTACGGAAACAATTTTACATACTTGCACAGAGTTCATTTTAAACAAAAATCAATCGATCAATATACGCATTCACTAATAATATATACATATATATATATATATATATGCAATATTGAACACAATTCCGAGCAATAATAATCATACACAATGAAAACTTTTCAGTATCTCGCATTCGGATGAAAAATATCCAGTTACCAGGGCAAAGAAAGACTGATAACCGCTTCTTTCTGGACGCATAAATCAAGTTTCAGGCGCTTGATGGAAATGGCTTCAGCAAACTCAAGGAGAATTGAGCTCTTTTGCCTATTGGTAATTTTGAACCACCTCATGACCCGTGCCGAGGAGATGCCTGGCAATGGCACTGTTTAAAGCATTTGTTCCCTTTAGACGTAAGCTTTTTGGTACAGGTTCAGAAAATCGTAGATATGCCCTTCTTTCTGTCCTTCCAATGTAACTGCTCCCGCAGATACACGTAAATCTGTATATACAGTTGGAGTTAACATGAGAAGGATATTTATCGATTTTTCATTGCACCAAAGAGTAAATTGTTCGATAGACGGGAACCAGCTTAGCTTCAGGATAGGCTCTGGCTAGTGACGTACTCAGTCTTCTGTTGATCATCGCTGCAATGTTTTCACCTTTATAATCAAGCTGAAAGTAGATATATTTAAATAATGTCTTTGCCCTGTAAGCAGCTGATGAGAAGGCAACGAAATAAAAGATGGTACCACTTTATTCTGCTAAAATTGTAGTTCCTACTTTGTTCAAATTCATTAAGGGGAATAAATGTATGAAAAGCAAATAGGCGTGTATGAAATTCTCATACACATGTGTCATCACCTGTAGTTGATGCAACAATGTCACATAGTCACACAGCCAGGGCAAGTGAAAGAGAAGGAAGAGGACAACTTCATTATGCCAAAAGATAATCAAATATTTAGAAGAAAAAAAAGCAAAACCAACAATTTTTTTTTCTATTTTTTTTATTTATCCACTTCTTATCTAAAATTTCCAAAATAACAGGAGTATAAAAACAAAGTCAGAAAATGTAGATACATGCACATTCCGAATAAGATGAGATGACAGAGGCACTGACTTTCATAAAAAAGGGTATCTTTGATAATACACACTGGTCGATACATATTAGAGATTGGGAAGGCTACAGATAAGCACCACACATACACAGAGTGAGCATACAAGGGACCTAGCTGCCTGTGACTTCTTTATACACTGTACAATCAATATTCAAGCCTAATTTATACAACTGATCAACAAAATACGGTCGACCATAACGCTGAAAGTGTAAGGCATCTTCTTCATTGAATTTACAACCGGCTAATGGATCAACACCGGTGATATTACGCTTAGTAACCACTTCTATAGGCATCCCATTGGCTATAGCCAATTCAGGCTTTGAAATTATCATTGTATGCTCAAATTGTGCTGATCGCAAACCATCCGTGGTCACAGCAGTCCAATTGTCTGGCCATAATTCATCATGCCAACTGCCTTCGTTTATCATTGGTTCAATAGTGAAACAATGTCCAGGTTTCATGATACCAACAGCTTTATTGCCTTCAGAAAAAAAAGAAAAAACAACAAATAAAAGCTTTTGATTGAACACTAGTCAGTAACTAGTGTAATGTGTCTAGCCAGTCCTATCTTTGGTGCAGACTGAATTCTATCAGTCAGGTTTGCAATGTGGCCACCATTCTAGAGTAGCTTGCCATCACGGTACACTTTGAATAGTGCATATTAGATGGTTGGAGGCAATCGGCAGGCAGTCTTGGGCTTGCAGTACTGGGTGACGTGGGTTCGAATCTCAGAAGGGACATGTGTCCCTTCAAGGCGGTTGCAGATAGGCCTTGTTGACGAGTGCCAACTAGTACGAAACCTAGGTCCCAGCAACGCTTCCTGCCAATTACCTTTAACCATCTAAACAAAAGCTATATTCTGAACAAAAAATGTTTGCACAGCCTACAGAAGAGTCAGAGAAATTTACTGCATAATACCTTTTCCCCTCTAACAGAATCTCCAAGTAAAATCGCAATCTATTGTATATCACGTGACACAGTGCTCTCTGATCTGAAGCATAGATTAATTAATCCCTTATAATATTTTTTTCTTCGCCTCCACGAAATGCTCACCCGGTAGTTTGAAAACCAACTGTAATTGTGCGTGAGTACATTTTACCGCCATTCAATGTTCATAATTAAGACAATAATAAGAACTAAGAAAAATAGGATGCATTCTGTTGAGTGCAAATTCAGCTGGCCCAGTGATTCAAGCAGGCAAGTAGTTTAATTTATACGTCTTTGTGATGCTTTGATATCAATAAACGAAGAAATTGAGCTACTTATCCTCGATTTTAGATTAGATTGTATAGATAACTCTCTGTGTGAGATTCAGCACGGGACTAGTACAGAAACCAATAATTCATTTTCCACAACTTTGTTTTGTTTTCAAAAGGTTCTTAGTACGGTGAAATAGGTTATAAACTTTACAAGCTTTAAATTACAGTAAACATAAAATCAGTAGTGAGTTCAAAATTCAAGAATTAGACCCGACCAACATTACTGGCCAGTAGCTCATGTTTAGTCGTAGAATGTTCACCACGGACACTCACACCACAGTTCAGGTTCGATTCCCACAGTCGACTCTCATCCCTAGATTGCCAAGTCAGCCCTAGAGGGTTGATCACTGTCGAAATCTTAGCACGGATACAAATTACACCATCTCTCTCGCCTGATAGATGTGATATCCGCCTGCTTATTGATCAACGGATGTGCGCATGTACTGCTCAGGAGTTCGCTCCATCCTTCTTTACCATTACAAGAAATGGCCATTGAAAGTGGAACATATGAAAAGGTTAGCTGTATTTGATCGTGAGTGCCTGCCTTCTATCTCATGTGTGTGTTAGGTGGTACAATAGCGTGAGTAATATTGAGGTTAGGCTACGGTCGAATGCTAGGTAAGGAGGGAAAATGTTAGCTGACCTAGAATCGACCAAATTGGAAAACAGCTGGTGTGGTAGTCATCAAACCAAAACATGGCTTCATCAGTCAATGAAATAAACCCATAACAGTTAGTTTAAGCTTGATATGTAGGAACCCGTAGAATTGTTGGTTGGGATCCCCAAGATGGAAAGAACCAATGACGCCAGCTGGAGACAATTGGTGATATAGTTCAAAATCCTCGTTCTCAATGACAGTGCAGCTGCATTCACTCTCTATGATTTATCATATCCAATAAAACCCGATTGTCCTTCCGTATTACTCTTCCATTTCCCTCACACTTCGGTTTATTATCTCTGCTGTGAACCTCTCTAATTGTGAAACTAGTAGTGATAACGTAAATAACAGAGAATATAAGTCATCTACAGTTTTACCATATTAGGAGGGGATATCTGAGACCCTCCCTACGTAGGATTCTCAATAAAGCAGGAATTAGGGTGGCATTCAAACCTACAAACTCACTCAGGGACAAGCTCTGTAGGTTAAAGGACCCAGTGGACCCAATTAGACAAAATAATATAATTTACAAAATACCCTGCAATGACTGTGAGGTCAACTACATAGGTCAAACTAGTAGGTCAGGGGTAGTCAGATTGTCAGAACATAATAATTTAGCTAAGGTAAGAATGGTTGACCCAGAGAAGATAAGTAATTTAGAAAAACAACTCAGCAATTGCACTGCATGCATTAACATACAACCACACAATAGGGTGTGTGGGAGAGGGTTGAAATTCTAAGAAGTAATATAGGTAGGTGAAGACAGAGATTGATTACTGAATCCTGGTTCATCGAGTCTACACCCAACACAACACATGCAACAGAAATGACTCAATGCAAATACCAGAAATATGGAAGATACTATTACCACCAGTCATTCAAATCAGAGGAGGATAATAAATAATCTCAATAATCTATTTCAATTCAAGCACATCACAACATTCTAACAAGTTACGTATTATGACTATAAAAACACTCGTTTTATTTCCCATCTGATTGTAATTGATCAATAACACTCATATTATTATTTCTGAGTGTAAATTATCCCATATTGATTTTTATTCAAATGTGCAATCATCAATTCCACTCATGTATAATATATGAAGCAAAAAGTTGTGTGAGTAGTGACTTGATATGATTATGAGTGGCAATAGTTTGTGCCCGAAACGTCATCAGTTAATATAACTGTGTAACGTAATACTGTGTGACTTATCAAAATAAAATCTTATCCATAATGGAGTTATGCTCTACCACAGTGCCCAAGTTTTATACTTATTTCTCTTCTCTTGCTTTGTATGTTAAATGGAGGGAGAGTGGCAACTCGAACTGCCACACTTCTGTGCAAAGTTATATGTTGAAACTGGTGAGTCATATATATATACGTGTATACGCATAGCTACAGTAACTGAATAGTGCACACCAAGGAATTAACTAAGAAAGTAAAGAATAGACACCACAATCAAATGACCTGGAACCAGCCAATCAGATCTCTCAGCATTACATAAAGATGTTTTTCATAATTTTCGTTGCAAATTTCATCTGGAGTCAGGTTTAAGGTTACGGTAACAGTTGCAACGAAGTTCGGGATTAGAGTGAAAGTTCATTGAAGATCATGAAAAGCATCCATTATTTTTAATGCTGAGCGATTTGATTGGTTGTTTCAAGTTGATCCGAGTTTGGTGTCTATTCTTTACTGTTACTGATAACCTAAGAGTAAACAATTATATGTCTCAAGTGGACAACTAGCAAACTTACGTGAATAGTGTAGAACATTTGGAGGACAATGAAATAGCCGATGAATCCCGTGTCCTGAATAAGTTCGCACTACAGAGAATCCACCGAGTGAAGCATTCTTTGCAATTACATCACCCATTTCACGATATTTAACACCTGGGAGTACTGAAATACAAAAAAACTCAATTGGTTAATAATCAAATAAACACATAAATCTATGTAGAAAAAGATAGATGAAAACCATCTCGAAAGAGATAAACGTTACGATTTCAAGTATTCTAAATCCCTGTCAGCATATAGTTTTGCTGACTGCCCAAAAATTCTGTTGAAATAATAGCACTGCAAGTTATCTGCATAGTGCTAGTTCACATACTGCCTAATTAATCAGACGAATTCGTAGTGAAGCAGAGCACATTTCCAACTCACAACACAACAGTTGAACATAAAGTGCTTGATCTAACGAAATACAATCACTGCCTTCGCAAGGCGGGGGGAGGGGGATGCCGTGTCCCTCAAAAAAGCAAAAGGGCGAATGTTAACGTTTGATGCATACAACAGAACTGACTGGTGGACATGCCGATCTACATAGGGAAGATTGAAAAGCTTGATTCTATGGTGCATGTGTACATGGGCTCCAGAATCCGAAACGATCGAATGGACATCAGTAACCATTGGGACGCAGCTCCTAACGCCACCTTGTGAATCAGACTTCGAGTGAGAGGCTCGAGGGATTTTCTCCTTAAGACAAACACTTGCTTCATTGTATGCGCCCAGGCAGTATTCCAGCGCTCGTAAAAACTAAGAGGTTTTGTGTGGCGCATCTCTTGGTGCTCATAATGTACCGCGTTTGTCTCAATAATAATAGCAATGATAATACATATAGTAAAAGCAATCATACATCTCCACAATGTGTGTTACGCCATAGTTTTGATGAATCTATTGAACCATTGAAATAGTCCAGCGGTTCTCTAACTGATATCAATCCATGGTCAAAACTTGCAAAGTGTATATGATAAATAGCACTGAGAAATACAACTATACTTTAATTGGACACTAGTAACTAGTGTTATGCGTCTAATCCTTTCTTTGATGCAGACTGAATTCTATCAGTCAGATTTGCAATGTGCCCAGAATTCTAGGTAGCTCGCCATCACGGTGCACATTGATTTTATTTATTTTTGGTTACAGCTTGATTCCACACCGTATTTTCAGTACAAGTGTGGAATTTTCAGCATGGATATCGGTAGCCCGAATTTCGCAGGCCGACCATAGATATCGAATGTGCGTCGGCAGGGGATCGAACCCCAGACCATGTGCATGGTTGGCGAGAATCCTAACCACTGTGCCACCGACGCACATGAAATTAGATGGTTAGAGGCAGTCGGAAGGAAGCCCTACCTTACTTAGGTTTCGTGTTAGTGGGCACTCTCAGAGACGTTACCACTGAGATATTCGGGCTCGCGATTGAATTCCTGTGGGACTGTATTGGATACTCTCTTTGGACACTAGTAACTAGTGTAGCGTGTCTAGCTAGTCCTTTGTTTGGTGCAGACTAAATTCTATCAGGTCAGGTCAGGAAATCAATCGCGAGCCCGAATAGTTCACTGGTAGCATCTCTGACTGTAGTATTGGGTGATGTGGGTTCGAATCTCAGAAGGGATATGAGTTCCTTCAGTGGTTGCAGATACGCCTTGCCGACGAGTGCTAACTGGCACGAAACCTAGGCACCTAGCTGGGCTTCGTGACGATTGCCTCCAACCATCTAATAAATACAACTATATTCCGAAATAAACAGATAAACAGTAGACGAATGTGGATAGCATTTTTGAAGGAGTAAGGCAATATTATATAAATAGGAATAAGAGGAAAACATATATAATATGACTGGGGTAATATAACCTTACTGAATGTGAGAAGTCTGAATCTAATCCGTTAGTTCATAACTGAACACAATATCATCAATTATAACAATACCACTGGCAGAAGAAGAGGAAATGCAACATTGACAGGAACATTTCTACTGTGATGGTGAGCTACCTAGAATGGTGGCCACATTGCAAACCTGGCTGATAGAATTCAGTCTGCACCAGAGAAAGGACTATACATGTCACACTAGTTACTAGTGTCAATTCAAAATATCCACTACAGTCCTACAGGAGGTCAATCGCGAGCCCAAATAGCTCAGTGGTAACGTCTCTGACTGCAGCACTGGGTGACGCGGGCTCTAACCTCAGGAGGGACATGAGTTCCTTCAATGTTGCAGATACGCCTTGCTGACGAGTGCCCACTAACACGAAACCTAGGTAAGGTAGGAATTCGTGACGATTGCCTCCAACTATCTAATATCATCAAGTCTCAAGCAACAATTAAAACAGTTGACAGTGTTGCTTAATAGATAGATATATAAGGTTTCAAATGACTCTAACAAAGCATTTAATTCACTGTGTGATAGAATTAGCAAAGAGTTAACAACCAATCAGTGTTCAGCTTTCAAAAAGAGTGGAAAAAATACAAGGCGGAAAATAAAAATACGCCACGAACGCGTAAAAACAACAAAATATAGTTGGTTGTTAATTCAAGGTTGTATTTAGGCTAATGTCAGGGCTAATGTTAACTAACGGCATACAAATAATATTATCACCTACCAGCATCCATAGACTTGACTAAACATTTATAGGCATTTTTAACTAGCCGTACTGAACGATCATCCGGTTGACCGACAAATACTGTCTCATTCACATCCCCGTGGAATCCATCATAGTATGTGGTTATATCAACTAAAAGTAATAATAATAATACTAATAATATGGAATATGTGAAACGAACTTAGAAATAAAAAATCTGTTAGACATTTTCTTCAAACTCTATAAACAGTACGCTGTCAATTGACATAAAATGAACCAAAATAGTCATAAGGTTTACAGTTAAATCACTCATATACATGATTCGGGGTAAATTAACACGATACTGAAGTCATTAACTGCTGATTCGAGTCATGTAGTTAGAATGATGCTTTGGTAACACGTGCTATACGGTTGATCCCTAAAGGTACGATCTCGAAGCATCAATGGTTCGGTGGTAGAACGATCGCCAAACAAGCCTCATCATGTGATCCGGAGATCGATTGTCGGCTGACGCATTCCTAAGCCTCACTAAACTGGTAGTAAGACGGGTAAAAAAAGAGGGTTGGGAGTAAGGCCAGCAACCCCACCGCGTAAAATTAAATGATGAAAACCACTGCTTCGAAAAATTCAAAGCTCTAGCTTGAAGCTCTGTATGTTCCAGTCGGAACGTAAAGGAATACAACTTTCCAAAGTATGATAACTTCTTATTAGTTTTTCGAGTCTGACTGCGGATTGATATCACCTTGAGAACCATTGAAAATCAGCACTGGAGTACTGGACAGCCAGATGTTTCATCCTAGTTTGGGAATCATCGGCAGTATGCACCCATTGGGGTGAGGACGGATTTCCCACCGATGATATTGGTTCGTAATCACGCTAAAATCACAAAATGGTAGAAGTTAGAATTCATGGGCCGGTCCCAGTGGCTGAATGGTCTACAAACTCGCCTTGTCACCGTAAGGTGCATACTGCCTATGATTTCCAAGCTAGGATGAAACAGCTGTCCAGTACTCACTTCAGTAATGGTTTTCAATGGTTCTCTAACTGATATCTATCCGTGGTCAAACTCGAAAAACAAATCAGATCCTTACAATTCCTTTACGTTCTGAGTGGAACATGGGGCTTCAACCTTTGATTTTTATCTTTTTTTACGGGGTAGATTTGTCAGTCTCACGTCCAACCTTCATTCATTAGCGGAATTACTACTGGCTAAGCGAGGTTCAAGTGTGTCGGCCACCAAATTGGAAACCGGACCACATGCGTGGTTGGACAACATTCCACCAATGAAACACTGACGACGCACATAAAATTATTAGTAAGTAATACTATTGGTGGGAATCTGTCTTTATTTCCAACCAATGGGTTTTAGTTTGGAATTCCGCCTTTAACACTTTAGATTAGACGATAAGGTATAGTATATGAAATTCATTCTAGGTAAACAGTGAACATCATAAAAACTTTCTAGAATACCTCAGGAAATCCATCTTAATATAAGACAGTTCTTTGATGCTATAATGGTGTGTGCCATCATATCCTATTTTGACAGGGCTATTTAATTCAATAAAGCCATAATATATTTTGACAACTAATGAACCCAAATTCTAGTAGAATTCAGTACTGTGTATCTAGTTACATTAAGTCTCAACGGGGTGGTTCTTCAGTTTTGTGAAAGTTCAGTTACTGTTACAACAACAACAGCAACAGAAACTGTTTGAAGACTTCCAAGTCAAACATCGATCGAAGTGATTACTCATCCAATCATCCTCCTACTGAGATTATTGACTCCATTAGCCAGTTAGCTATAAAGGAGGACATAGCAATTTATCAGTTGATGATGGATTATCTGCACAGTTGTATTTCAGTAAATCCATGAAAATTGATGTTGGAAATCAGATTGACAATCTGGATTTCAATAATGCATCAAATTTCTAGTGATGGTACTATTTGTACAAAACCAGGGAGATATGATCAGTTCAAGTGTAGAGAATTTCACCACAGTTTTTCCTATCTCAGAGAAAAAGGAAAAATGCACTCCAGTGCCCAGTACGTGGCCAGGTTGCTGAAAAGACTTCTGGAGATATTTTAAACTCATTTGGTGAAATCACGTGTAATGTTCAACTGATCTCAAAGAATTTCAAAGATTTAAGTTATCATATCAGTCTTTATGATTTGGACATGTTGAGAATTGGCTGGATTGATAAACTATCATCTTGGGAAATACTTTTACGGGACATCGATTTCGATGAAATGATGCAAATTCTTTGTAAAACATTTAGGGAAAATGCATCAGTTGTCAATATACGCTAAAAATATTTGATTCTGACCAAGGACCAATGTGATAATATCCTTACTTTTGCTTGTAAAGTCTACTGTGCACCAAACAAGCGTCCCACATTATTTCGTGGGAGAGGTATCATAGACACAGAATACCCACACCTACAAGAGTCGTTCAGTGGTCCCCCAGTTCGAAAAATCTATTAAAGAGCGGAAGTGTTAAGACGGACTAACTATCTTTGTTAGACGTGAATTTATAACTGACGCATGCGCTGACATAACATAACGATTTCTGATTAATTTATCGTGGAGGATCTTCAAGGTTATGCAATCAATCAGATATTGATTATCCATTTATGATTCAAATTTCAGCGGATGCTCAAACGGTATGTATATATATATACTCTGGATTGCAAAGAAAAAAGTTTCTTCAAGTATTGGTTTGTAGGGATTTGGTTGATTGGTACAAGATTTCATCATGAGCTGACATTGGTTACAGAAACATTGGAAAACCTGGGAGTACTGGATAGCTGTTTCGTCCTAGTTTGGGACTCTTCATCAGTACGTACCCACCAGGGTTCGAACCCAGGATCTTCTGGTTACAAGGCGACCTCGAACTCCAGTGGGTGCGTACTGTTGAAGAGTCCCAAACTAGGATGAAATAGCTGTCCAGTACTCCCAGGTTTTCCAATGATTCTGTAACCAATGTCAGCTCATGATGAAATCTTGTAACCAAAAAAGTTTCTGTTGTGGTGGTTATGGTCGTCACACTTAAATCTGACTTCTGTGTCTACCTCAGTATGGGGAGTATTTCTCAAGAACCCGGTTGTCTGGAGGGCCATTGTAGTTAGGACAGACAACAGCCAACAAATCGTTAACACTCCGTTACAACATTTTAATAACATGACTATCCAACTATATGCATAAGATGCACAACCCATTGTGAAAATAGTGTCATTTTTACTTAGGAGAGTAACTGTGTCTGTGTAAAAGAAGCCTATTTCTCCACCACCAGATGTAAACAACTATTGTACCATTTATTCAAGTTAATTATGTATTCCCCGTTGACTGATTTCATTGGACCGAAATGTCCCTTCTCTGTTGACATTTCGAGCACTGCCTAGTACGGATGCTTCGACGACGCCTGAAGATTAACATGATGTCGTTTGGCGAATGGTGACTCTTAGTGGAATCCAGCAGATGAGTATCTCGTCCTATTTGGGACTCGTTGCCGGATGTACCTGCTGTAATCTCCAATGACTGATTATATTCCAACTGAGATGGCCTCCGGGTTTTGGTTTCAGTGAGAACACCGCCACTCATTGTTGAGTGCAGAATAACGAGTCCCGAAATAGGACGAAAGGCGCACTTGTCATCATCCGCCAAATGATTATAATAATTTCGGCTCTCATCACACATTTATGAGTATATATATTAAAAAATTAGCTAGCAGTTTTATTTATCCATACTGTCAGAATTTTTCTATAGTCAGCAGCAGAAGTTGACCACATGTAGTTTCCTCCCTAAGTCGAAAAATTTAAGGAAAATCAAAATTTTCTTTCAAAACATTTAAACTATTGAATTCCAAATAAGTAGTGGAACTAAAAGACAGAATAAATGTGATATGCACAGAAAAGAAGTATATCCACCATATAAAAAGTAGAAATGCAAATTAATGAAGTCTACAATCAGTATAATATCTCGCTTACTATTTAAAATATCACCATTTTCCAAAGGTCTCATATCCGGTATCCCATGGCATATCACTTCGTTCACAGATCTGAAACATTCAACAGATACGTGGTAACATTATTGCTTCAGTTAGTTTTCAAGTTCGACCACGAATTGATTTTAGTCAGAGAACTACTGAACACCAGCACTGGAGTACTGGATAGCCAGCTGTTTCAGCCTAGTTTAGGACTCATCGGCAGCACGCACCCATCGGATTTCGAACCTAGGATATTCCAGTAACAAGGAAAGCTTGCAGACCATTCAGCCACTAGGACCCGACTCCTTATAGGGTCAGCCCATGAATTCTAACTTCTACTAATTCGTGATTTTAGCGTGGCTACCACCAGCCAATGTGTCATTGGCAGCGAATGTTTGTCCTCACTCCCAACCTGGTAGATCCTCTGAGTCACAAATTCCCTTTACAACTCTAGGCAACTTCGTCCTGCAGCTAATCACTAAACAGCATTGGATTCGTTTTCAAGAGTTGCTTTGCAAGGATTTGATTTGTTTTCAAGTGTGAACAAATCTTGGAAATTGATCTGATGCTCGGTAGTGACCAGCTACAGGATGAAGTTTCCTGGATCCCAGTACCTCTCCCATGCTAAGCGAGCATTCTACTACTTGAACCAGTGCCCCAGAGTTCTAGTGAGAAGTTGTGACCAGTGGGTTCCATAAGGTCAGGAGAGAGGACAGATACTAGCCCAGGGGGTGCGTACCGCCGATGATTCCCAAGCTGGGGTGACGAAACGGTTATCCAGTACTCCCTAGTTTTCAATAGTTCCCTAACTGATATCAATCCATGGCCAAACTCGAAGACAAGTAAAATCCCTACAAACCAGTTTCTGTTAAGATTTATTCACCCTTTATTGAGGTTTATAAAAGACAATTGCATAAAGGGTTACGAAGACGAATTACACAAATTACACCTGAACATCTGGAAAACCAGTCGAAAAGTCAACTTAGATCCCTTTTTCAAATTTATATGTACTTAAACAGATTGTAGCAGTTAACTTCATGTCTATCGCAATCGCCCTCACCCTCGAATAAGAAGCAGCGAAGACGAGACTTTAAGTGAACATAGAGAAGACGGAAGTGATGAAGATACCCGACAACCATCAACAACAGCAACAAGCAGTAAACACTGTCACAACGAGAGAAATCTGGAGGAAGTCACTTCTTTCACTTATCCAGGTAGGATTATCTGAACTACAAGCAGCCCAAATAGGAATGTCAAAGCCAGGATATCGGAAGGGCAAGAGAAACCTTCAATAATCTGAAATCAGTCTGGAAGTCTACTGCACCCAGTATAATGAATAAGACTCGGATTCTTAACATTAACGCCAAGTAAATTAATGTTTCCAGATGGTTCAGGGACTTCGCGTGTCGCCAAAATCATTTCCAACAGGTTGCTGCAGACTTTTATCAACAGCTGCCCGTCTCGTCAGCTAAATACTGAAGATCAGATGGCTGGCAAGATAGGATAAGCATGAAGGAACACTGGAAACGAACCAATCAACAACCTATTGATCAACAAATACTCTGGAGAAAATGGAGATGGATCGGAAAAACTCTGCGAAGAGCATTGAGTGATATTGCGCGCCACACTCTCGAGTGGACTCGGATAGGAAACAAAGAGTTATGCGCCTGAGTGACAGGGAGAAGATGAATGCGTATTAGCAGTCATGGAACCAGCTAAAGACAGCTGCAGGAAGCGGGATGAAATGGATATGTATTATAGAAAACCTATGGTCAGATTGGAACCTGGGGGAATAATAAAATGATAGAAGGTAGAGGTCATGGGCCATTGGATCAGGTCCCAGTGGCTGAATGGTTTACAAGCTTGTCTTGTATCTGGAAGGTCCTGGGGTTCGAAACCCAGCGTGTGCGTACTGCAGATGACTCCCAAGCTACGATGAAACAGCTGTCCAGTGCCCCGGTTTTCACTGGTTTTTTAACTTATATCAATTTGTGGTCAAACTCGAAAAACAAATCGAACCCTTACAAATCAACTCTTGAAAATGAACAAAGTCAAAAAAGTGTATATATACTTTAGGTGGAACTGTGGCTCACACTGGTTAAGGTGCTCTAGCTTCGACTAGTGGGTCATGGGTTCGAACCCCGATTCACCTCCCTGGATTTAAACAGCCAGGTAGCATAACCAGCCGTCATTGTTAGTTAAATGGAATTTCAAGTGACTGTTGAGTAACATTTCTTTCTCATATGTATACTTTAAACTGTTTTTTTCATTGGGCAACTAAGCAATTATCAGCTAGCATTTGTGCCGCAGTCAAACTTTTAAGGTGTAAAATAAGAAGAAGAATATGGAACAGTTTTATTGCTTCAAAATTAATGGTTATTTTTCAGTCAATCAAAAAAAAAAGACTTACGTGCAACATGATTTTGGAAAATTGAAATAATTCAACGGAGAAGGATAACAATCACGATCCATACATGCCTAAAAATGAATACGACAAACAATTAGTCACTATATCATATATATGAAAGTATTTAAGGTTGACAGTAAGAAGCGGAATGTTTGGACGTAATGATTCCCTTATGATAGGGAGTTATATCACCCTCAGTGGGTTAATAGTTGACGAAATCTTATTGATTATCAAGTCTTGGTTCGAATGGATTTCATTAGTTTCAGGTTTGCTCACGCGTTGATACCAGTTAGAAAACCATTGAAAAACCAGCAATGGAGTGCTGACCAGTTGTTTCGTCCTGGTCTGGGACTCCTCACCAGTACATCCCTAGTGGGGTTCGAACCCAAGGCCTTCCGGTTACAAGGCGAACTCGTAGACCATTCAAGACAACGGCACCCGATTCAATGGCTCATGATTCCTAACTTCTGCCAAATTCTGCGAGCTCGCCTTGTAACCGGAAGGTCCTGGGCTCGAACCCTAGTGAGTGCGTATTGATGAAGAGTCATAAACTAGGGCGAAACAGCTGTTCAGCACTCCAGTGCTGGTTTTCAATGGTTATCTAACTGACATCAATCCGTGATCAAAACTGAAATCTCATTACGCGTACAAAAATCACCTTTTACTTTTTTCCATGGTTTCCCCAACGGTGGTGTTATTCCTGATTCACTTTATATTACTAGACAGTTCCAATATATGTCCACTGAAAGCTGAGTATCATTATTGCCTTCACAGCTATGTGTGCGGTAAAACTTATTTTTTATTCATTTTATTCTTTTACGTTCCCAGTGGAAGATGGGACTTTCAGTCAGAGCTTTGAAATTTCCATGGCAGTGGTTTTCTTTTTATGGAGTGGAGTTGCTAGCCTCACGCTCAACCTTCCCTTTTTACTATCGGTCTTACTACCTGCTTAGCGAGGTTTAAGAGTGGGTCGGCCGAGGATCGAACCTGGGAACACGTTTATCGCGGCTGATGAACATTCCTACCGCTGAACCACCGGCACGTTGTGGTAAAACTACCACGTCAGTAATACGGATTTTAGGGATAATTTACACTTACATTTGAGTTTACACACCTCTGTCGAATAAGACAATTAGAATATATCTTACGCCTACCACAACATCCAACGGTTGCTTAGAACTCAGTTACTTTGCACCAGACCACTACTAGTCAAAATTATTATTGTGAGAGCTTATAGATACCGTCTAGTCGCCCAGGATGTAAAGTAAATAAGACGAAAGTTGAACCCTACAATCTACTAGCTGAAAACCATGTCCTAAAGTCAATGAGCAACATAGTTCGAGGTCATTTATAGTACGATAACGCTGGAAGAGTAAACGGACGTAGGCATAACACTGATTTAGTCATCAAATACTAGTTTAAGCCATTTCAGCAAAGTACAGCAGTAAATGTGGCAGATGAAATCGGTGGTCAATCACTGACTGACTGGTCTTTGGATATAGAACAGATGTGCAGCAAGACAAGAGAGTAAAGAGAGATTCAAAAGACAGAGAGATAATGAACACAAGTGTGAGGGACAAATAACAAAGAGTGAATGTAGCTGCGCTGTCATAGACAACGAGGATTTTGAACCATATCACTAATTGTCTCTAGCCGCCGTTATTGGTTCTTACCAACCCGATGACCTCAACCAAGAAAACAGCAAAACAATATCGCAGCTTACACTTGAGAATAGGAATATGCACAAAAAGAACAACTAAAGTGCCTACTAACCCTTAATATTTAAGCTGTAATACTAATAACAACACTGATACAATCAGCTAGAGATGACACTAAAATAAAATAACACTATATTTTCACATACGACTCAGCATTAAGTTATTTAGAAAGAAAAAATACGTATGGTATTTTGTTATTACGTCATTATTATATTCACCTTTATAATGATATTTGTATCAATCAAAGTAGAAATTAAATTTATATATACATATCAACATTTACCTCATGTACAATTCTATCGATTTCATCTGTTGTTACACCGACTTCAACTGCATTCACCGCCTCTTCAAGTACTTCACGTGCAAGCTGAGAGAATGTGTTGTATACAAAAAGTAAATCTCATTTATCATGATAAGAAAAAAGAATCCCATATGTATAATAAATGAAAACAAACCCTCATAGAATACAAAACACAATACATATACGTATATATATATATATATATATATATATATATAACATTTCGATACTTTGAAGTTATTAAAGCCTTCAAATATTCCATCATCCATCAATTAAAAAAAAAACGACAACCACAACAAAAACTCAATCCAGACATGAATGTTTCTACTGGCAAAGATAGATTAACAGAAAATCATTTTGGTCGCTTGACTTATAATTGTGTACAATATAAAGAGTATTTGATCTGGTCTGTCGATCTGTTTTCGACATAGAACTTTGCACCGATGTGCACCAGTTCAAGTCGCCACACTCCCTCCTTGTAGCACACAAAGCAAGAGAAGAAAGTAGAAGAAATGCATAATAGAGACCGTAAACAGGAATGTGAGACAAAGGAATAGTAATAACGAAGAACAATATAGTTTCATTGGAAATCATAAGTCACAAGTAGTGGATGCATCTGCACCAGCCATTGAGAACGATTTTGAGCCATGTCACCAATTGTTACCAGCCATTGGTTTCTTACCGTCCCGAGGACCCCAACCAGTCAGGAAGTCTACACCTTCCTTCGTGGCTTAAACTAACTGTTGTGGATTTCATTGACGGATGCCATGTTTTCGTTTGACCGCCGCTAGCTCTTTTCCAGTCTGACCCTATGTCAGCTAATATTGCCCATTGTCGAGGAAGGCGATGATTAGGCACTTCCAAAAGCACACGAAGCACTTGATTTGGTCACACTCATTAACCACCAACTTCTACACTTAACAACATTAGGGAGTAACTGATTTCGTGTGTCTAATCCTCACTAGTAGCTCTGACTTTGTTACAATGCGATAACATGCCAGCTGCATGACACACCATCACAGTGGATTTTGAAAACCAAATGCCTCCCTCCAACCAGCTAACACTTGTATGCCTTTCTTTTCAATTTGAATTGCGATATGTTTTACGTGCATGGGTGGATGTGTATCGGTGTGGTGAAATTCGATAAAAGCAACAAAATAACTAAGTACGAAACAACTCTTTTAAATAGTTAGTTAGTCAGTTGCCTGGTACCGATTGTGGGGCATATTTAACGTATCATGGCTGATGATACTACAACCTAGTTACCCAGGCTAAAGTGCAAGCCACTGACGAATTTCATTTGTTGCCAGGTAATTAGAATACATTAGATTATAAGACGGCTAGAATTAAAACTCATACTTCCTGGTGAATAGTTCAACAATATGCTTTTACACTGTCGATCAGCTCTAAGGAAAAACTGCTAAATATAGACAAATAGGAGGAATAAATAAATCGTTGTTATTAATTGATCGAAGGCAATGGGAAGGAAGCTTTGCCTCGCCTAAACTCCGTGCTCGTTGGCAATCACCAGTCACCAAAGCTTATCTGAAATCCTGAAGGAACTGATGTCCCTTCTGAGATTCGAACTCAGGTCACCCAGTGCTGCAGTCAGTCAGAAACGCTACCACTGAGCTATTCGGACTCGCGATTGACCTTCTCACTGAATGTATTGGATACTAGTTAGTAACTAGTGTCATGAATCTAGTCCTTTGTTAGCTGCAGACACGGGTTCGAGTTTCAGAAGGGACACATTGCAGATACGCCTTGCTGACTGATAAGTGTCAACTAGCACGAAATCTAGGTGAGAGGCTTCCTTCCGATTGCCTCCAACCATCTATTTAACAATTTTGAATGTAGAATGATGGCAAACTTGACTGATAGAATTCAGTCTGCAGCGACCAAAGGATTAAATTCACCACACTAGTTTATAATTGATCAAAAAGGAATATATGAATGCCAAAAATTTGAAGTCAGGTATTTTGAGCTAACCTAATTTTCATTAACTCTAATGCGGAAAAAAATAAATAATACAAAAGTCTGTAGTAGGAGTAGAGTTGCTAGCCTCACGCCCAATTTTCCCTCTTTATTATCGGTTTTACTATCTGCTTAGTGAGGTTTAAGAGTGGGTCGGACGAGGACATTAATACTAAGTAACTGAGAAGTTCAGTCGACAATCTCTTGAAACTAGTCACACACAACGTATTTGGAGTATTTTTCTGAGTCATATCCATATGAATTTCTTACCACTGGTTATGAACTGCCATAGGGCAAATCAAGATGTGTAATTTTCGGGGGAGGACGTCTTTTCATCGCCTCATCACTCTTTCAGAGATAGAAACGAGCACAGCTGACTTTTTAATCGTCCGAGGAAAGCACCTTACACTTGCTACACTATTATTCGACACCAGTGTGACTTCATCATCAGGCCCTCAACAGAGTTAGCATTCATGTAACCGGTATCCCTGAGGAAAGTGACGATACAATTAAAGTATCACACGTATACAGAACAAATTACCAAGGCCAAATACATGATAATGCATTCTAGCAATCAAATAGAAGTTTTTAAATTAGATAATTTAGTCAAAGTCAGAGTTTTGTGATAACCAAAACCTCAAATATGTGGGATAAAGTTTGAATTCATTGCATACGAACAAAAAGTCGACTCAATAGTCATACATTAGAACAAACAGTCATCACTCCTAGTTGAAATCTGTTACAATTATACCTAATATATATCGATCTAAAGGTCTTACTTCTTGAACTCATTTAATCAGAAGAGATCTTTCAGCTACTAGAATAATAGTTGAACTGATTGAATGAGGGTGTAATCACTTATAACTGAAGTAGATGTGACGGTATTTTAGCCTACGACCTACGAACTGAAAGTTAAGTTTCTAAGCCAATAAGCCACATCTTTAACACAAACTAGAAAACTAATGATTTCACCACATATTACTACTGTAACGACAGTAGAAAAGGGCCAGGCAACAGATCGTTTATTGAGAAAATCAAGAGATATTTATAGATTTTGATGTACACAATTATTCATTATTGTTAGCAGAGAAGCAACCTCTTCTGATTGGTTGTTTTCTTGCTGAAGGTTATTCTGTCATCATATTGTGGCCGTTTCTTAGAAAGTCAGGCTAAATATCTGTGAATCGTATTTGCACACGTTAAGTCTGTTGTGATTGGTTGGTGACTTCCTCAAGATTAAGCTTTGTTACTGTTTTTTTTTCATGACCCTGATTCTGGACGTAAACACTGACGTAAATTGTTGTCTACAATTTTAGCTAGCAGACAGCTCTCGCCACACTACTACTTATTTATTAATTAATTAATTTATTTATTTATTACACCAGTAATTACTTCAACCAATGATAAGAATACTTAATACTATCTCTTTAACTTTAAAACTTCTCACATGATAGAAAAACGGATGTCAAGATCTCTCTACTATCACATCAAACATAGATTTCATAAATGAAAAGGTATAACGAAAGTATGTTCTTTTATCCAGAACTACAAAGACGATCAAAACGATCTTTCTCATAACATTGAATTAAATTATAATATATTTTGACAAAAGACTAGCAATTCTATCCGATAGATCTACTTGTCATCTTAAACATAAATAACGCTTATATCTCTTGACGAACAGATAGTAGTGATGAGCCATTCACACAACTATTCAACTGAGTGACGCAAACCTTAAAACATCTTAACATTTAACCATTCAAAGAAAAGTATGCTGAAATCTATAGTTACAATGTGCCAACTGGATTGATAACAACTATATCATACAATCGGTTAGCAGATTTCGATCAATACATAGATAACTAAACATTTTGTAATTGATAATAGTTAATAGCTGGCCGATGCCTACTTAATAACTCCAACCTAGGAAGTTACAAAACATAACTAAAAAAGAGAATAAAAACAGGTACCGTTAAATATCCATTAGCTATATCAATACCAATAGTCAACTGTTAGTAGTTGATCAGTAAAGAAGCTTAACATGCAAACTGGTATTTAGACCAACCCATATGAACGCCCCCACTAATCTATTGATGTATGGTATTGTTATTTTTTTGGAAAGGCTATCTCAATGAGTGTCTGTCTGTCTGTTTTCGACATAGAACTTTGCACCGATGTGCACCAGTTCAAGTCGCCACACTCCCTCCTTGTAGCACACAAAGCAAGAGAAGAAAGTAGAAGAAATGCATAATAGAGACCGTAAACAGGAATGTGAGACAAGGGGATAGTAAAAAAGAAGAACAATATAGTTTCATTGGAAATCATAAGTCACAAGTAGTGGATGCATCTGTGCCAGCCATTGTTTTTTACCGTCCGGAGGACCCCAAAAAGGAAGTCTACACCTTCCTACTTGGCTTAAAATAACTATTGTGAATTTCACTGACTGAAATCTACAACATGAGTGTATTTTGATTGGACAATAGTAACTAGTATGACGTGTCTAGTCCTTTCTTTGGTGCAGACTGAATTCTATCAGTCAGGTTTGCAATGTGGCCACCATTCTAGGTAGCTCACCATCACGGTGCACATTGATTTGATGATATTAGATAGTTGGAGGCAATCGGCAGGAAGCCTTGGACCTAGCGCTAGTTGGCACTCATCAGCAGGGCGTCCAATCAAAATACCCACTACAATCCTATAGGAGGTCAATCGCTAGCCTGAATAGCTCAGTGGTAACGTCTCTGACGGCAGCACTGGGTGAAGCGGGTTCGAATCTCAAAAGGGACATGAGTTCCTTCACGGTTGCAGATACGCCTTGCTGATGATTGGCAACTAGCACGAAACCTAGGTCCAAGGCTTCCTGCCTATTGCCTCCAACATCATGAGTGTACTGAAAATTTTGACTGAGATCATTAGAACATAACCCTATAAAGAAGTGTTGTAACTCACCAAATTAAGAGACTATTTTTCAAATAGTTTGTCCTAAATCCTCAAACTTCATTCCGCGCAAACTTCATATATAGCTTGCACCTTAACAATATTAACCTCTATTGAAAAGGTACCTTGTATTATTGCTAAGTTTAAAAAGTATAAAGGCATAAGATTTACACAGTTGTGAAATTAATTTGTACCAATCAAAACGAGTACCTTGAGAAACACAGTAAAAAATCTAGAAGATAACTTTTCAGAAATGTTACAAACAAACATGAAACTACTGAAAGTTATACATGGGATACAATTTGAAAATAAAGTCAACTAAAACTTCACACTCCCAAAAGACAATGAATTACCTTTCCTGAGACACGCATACATTCAATTTCATCGTCATCCAAAACTGTAATGCTGTAGGAACTCTTTGCCTTGCGTTCTGAAAGCGGTATTCCTGTTTATTCAGTAAAAGAAAGAAACAATCAAGAGTTACCTGTATCAGCATAGTCTGGTGTCCGAATGGAACTTTTCACTTCCCTCTTGGGTGTCTAAAAATATCTACATCGGCAGAAAGAGCATAAACTTACCTTTCTAAAAGGTCGTAATGGACCTGTAAATCTATAGTTGATAAACCGTTCGTCTTCATAGGTTTGTTCTGTAGCAAAATAAGAAATTTAAATAATGTACACGCGAACCAGTAGTGACATGCGCTGCTTTATGCGTTTTCCAAAATTGTTTGAAACATTCCTCAAGAATAAAATTTAAAACATTTTAACTGAATACTTGTGAACAAAAGAAAGATGTCGTTATCCCCAACTTAAGGCATACTGGGCATTTTAAAGTGGATGGTTTGCCGCATGACGGAGTTATACAGACGTTAGCCATATTACTCAAAAACACCTGTTGAATACTTGATTGATCGTACAGGTCTAAAAATATGAAAGCATACATGATGTTAATAAACCATTGATTGAATGCTGAGATATCTTAGTCAGCCAAAAATCACTATGAATGGCAATTACATAAAGAAAATACATAAACTGGACAGTAATACACCGTTAAATTTCGAACAAACAATTGCACTTTTACTGCATGTGGGAAAATACTTGCATGTTCTAGTCTGATTGCATAAGAGGAAAAATTTCATCTATTATAAGGACACTGAAACTGATGTTTTAAATTGTGACCAGGTTCAGTGTCAGCAAAGAGTAGTAAAACCACATTATTGACATTATTGACGAATAAAATAATGGTGCTACTTGTACTTTCATCCATCTAGCTACATGAAAAAGGTCCCATAAGAAATCAGTATGAATCTAATAGACAATTAATGACTGGATAGGAATTATTCATCAATGTAGTAGACGCCTGACGGCAGAAGTCGATACTAAATGCCATTCATGACACATATTTTATACATCTACGCCTCTAACTTGAAGAACTTTATTGACAACAATAGGCCATGACTTTCAGCAGAAGTCCACCTCAGGAGTGACATCACTTGGAATTTTGTTCTGATACATGACAGATAGTATGTGGCCCTGCCAATTGTTACACGCAACATTTTTTATCAGTTTTACCAACCCATGTACTACCTATATGAGACAGTTACCAGATAATCCCCAAGGTTACTTCGAGTGAATTCAAGCATGTTAGACTTGATAGGCTATTGCAGGGTAACGTACTCGCCTTTTAACCTGACTTCGATTCATGGTGAATTTATGTGTGCACTGCGAAGAACGGTACTGAGGAAAACCGAAATACCTGGCATTGACACCCTGTTTTTAATGGTTATCTAACTGATTACTGTTAACGAAAAAATATACCTCTGAATGTTACCGTTCCGTTATTACCGTGTTACAACAGGTTAGTCTGCCATGCAAATTAAGCATCATTTAATACACACAAGTAACACAATTTCTCTAGAATAATTCATAAACAGTATTTTTCCAGAGGTGTATAAGAATTCAGGGCTAAATACCACATTCTCCCTGAATTCCAGCAGGATGTTAGGGTCATTCATGTCTCTGAACATGATATAAACCACTCTTAACCAGCATCCATTAAGTATTATAGCATCCTCCTTATGATCAGTCAAACCATAAGATAATGGTAGTAAAAATTAAAAATGCCCTCTAACGTTCACCCCAAGCGATGCGCCGCAAACGTCCAATTTTCAATTACAAATTCACCAACCAGGGCGAACCTTCTGGCTTAATCATAATAATTCCCACAACCAGCGGCACTGGCAGGTGATTCTCCAGAATTATTAAACACAACATTCATCAATGAACACTGTATGCTAACCCTCAATATTTAAGTCGATTTATTTAACTGAAGGCTCGCGGTCAAGCATCCACGCCATTCGGCAGGCAATCGTGTTACTCTCGTTCATTCGCGCACAATCCATAGCTAGTCAAGCAATCATTTCACACTCTGATTTGGTCCCGAAATATACTTTGAAATTTGGATGATCAATTCAATCCAATATCCAACATCCTGATTACTAGGTAGTATAAACCAGTGATTTCTTTGAGCTCGCTTCTTGATTGGAAGGTAGAGGTTCCAGATCTTCGGTGAACTTATGCGTAGTAAATCCCGCCACTCAACTGCTTTAGCTCTGGTAGACTCCAAGAGGAGTGGTGCGAGGATTGGTCAAGATGTGGTTTGTAGTGTGCAGTATTTTAGGACTCAGTTGCTGCCGTGAATGAAGTTTGACCTAACACCCGTTGGTCATTCGGTGTAGTCATAAAAGTAGAATAATAATAGGTTGTAGTGTAGATAATATAGGTTGAGATAAGTGAAATAATAAAGGTGAAAAGGAAAAGATAGAGTAGTCGGTACAGTGAGAGAAGACAGAACGGGTCGTGGGGATTTAGCTTGTATGCTTATCGATTGACAGTGTGGTTTCAAATTTTAAGAGGATAAGCCATTGAGACACAAACCACGCATTTATGCATGATTTTCCAGCTTCCGCTTAAAAGTCTCCACAGATGGCGCTGTAGTTGCGGCCGCCGGTAAAGCGTTCCAGAGACGGCAAACTCGAAGCGAGAAGAAATGTGAACGCACTCGAGTCTTTGGTCTCTGGTGTGCTATCCTTAGCGGGTTACCTCGAGGAAGCCTATAATCACTTAATGGCAGGATGCTTTTATTAGGATGGGCCCGATCATTTAAGATCTTGTAGATAGTGATGAGGTCTCCCCTGTGACTACGGTAACTAAGTGTGAAAAGACTTAATTTCTTCAGTCTTCTCTCATATGATTTGTTGCGAAGGCCGATCACCCATTTTGTCGCTCGTCTCGAATGTTAGCATCCCTTTTGAGTAGCGGAGGAGCAATGATATTATGCACCTCAAGGAGTGGCCTCACATATGTCGTATACAACCTTAAGAATAGTTCGGGAGTAAGAGCTCCCAACTGCCTATGCATAAAGTGTAAGGTTGCGTAAGCTTTGGCGACGTCCCTCGTGTAATTTCCACTGGTGTCTAGCTTTTCTGTTAAAATAAGACCTAGGTCGCGTTCTGATGGCACACAACTCAAGTTCTGGTTACCAAGGGTGTAATTTACACTCTGTGGCCTGCAGGAATGAAGTTGCACTACTTTGCACTTCTTTAGGTTGAAAGGCATTCCGTTAGCCAAAGCCCAGTCTCCCAGAGTTTGCAGGTCGGCCTGCAATCTGTCTGAGTCTTCCGATGAGCTTATTGCTCTCCAAATCTTTACGTCGTCAGCGTAAAGAAGCACAGAGCAGTTCAGTTGACAGGGCAGGTCGTTGATAAAAATCAAAAATATCAACGGCCCTAAGATAGAACCCTGAGGAACCCCTCATGTCGAGGTGTGCCAGGATGATCGGATGCGGTTGACTTTGGTGCAGAATTCTCTCTCGCCTAAGTAATCTTTCAGCCATGCGAGAAGTGCTCCAGAAATACCCGCCTTGCTTATTTTGTGAAGGAGCAGACCATGGTGAACTGTGTCGAATGCTTTCGCAAAGTCGAGAAAGATCACATGGACGGGTACCTTTACGTCCCAGGATAGTGTCCAATTGTTCCAAGCTAGTAGAAGATTCGTCACACAGGATCTTCCCCTCCTGAAACCGTGCTGTGCTTCATGGAGTAGGTTAGTCCCGTCGAAGTATTTTCTCATGTGGTCGTCAATGAGACTTTCCGATATCTTCGATATCACTGGAAGTAGCGCAACTGGTCTGTAACTGGTCGCATTCTGCCGGGGATAGGATGGCTCGTTTCCATTCACATGGAAGTTTCCCTACATCAAAGGAGTGTTGAAACAGGTCACTTAGGGGTTGGCAGAGACTTTCTGAACACTGCTTCAGGACGGATGGTCTTATGTCATCGCAACCTGCAGACTTTCCCGAAACCAACTTTCCCGATTTTACGAGTACCATAGCCGGGGTGATTTGAAATGTACCCAGCAGGTTTTCGCACGTTGGTCTTGCATTGTAATCTTGATGTTTTGTGGGGGTAAAATCCTCGTTACTGTTCAGTTGCCTGTGAAAGGCTAGACTGAATGTCTCTGCCATTTCAAGACTAGTAAGAGATTTCCCATCAGAACCCGCTAGATTGCAAGCTCCCTGGTTGGTCGGTTTTCTTTCAAACATAAACCTGTATAGGCTTTTGGGGTTCACGAGAAGCTTATTGGCGAGGTTTCTCTGAAATGTCCTTCTATCACTCCGGACTCGTATGTTACATCGATTCCTGAGTTCGAGGTACACTTCATGTTCGGGTTGACTCTTCGATACTCGCCACGCAAACCAGGCTTTTCGCTTCGCCTGTAGAAGGCGTTGTGCCCCCCTTTTTAGCCATGAACGTTGCTTCATAGCTTTTGGTGTGACTAGAGGAACAGTGTCTGAGACCGCCTGGTGAATGATCTCCTTTACCACTCCCCAGTGTTCTTCTACTGTAAGCTCTGTCCAATTTTTTGGCCAATTTGCTTCAGACAAAAGTCTTCACATTTCGGTGTAATTGGCTTTGTTATAACACAGATAGGGTTGTGCATTGTCCCACTGTAAACGCTCGCGGAGGACTATGTCGAATGTTATGACCGCGTGGTCACTACTACCCATGGGAGTCGTGATCTGAACGTTTTCCACTAGTAGCTGGTCACTAGTGAACACGTAATCCAGTCTAGAAGACTTCCCATCTGGGCCCCATCTCGTATCCATTCTGACATTTTCGGTGAATCCGGCCTCCCTGATGGTATGCAGCAGATTTCGATCAAATCTATCATGGGTATACCCCGTCATCGAGTTAAGAGATGGGGCATTGAAGTCTCCAGCTATGACAATTTGATCATAACCCATGTCTTGTGTCGCTGAAATTGCATTCACCAGTACCTGGTTGTGGTCTGCTCCACATGAAGGTGATCTGTAAATGCTGCCCACTAGATACTTACAGTACCCAACGGTGAAATGGCACCATATGGAGTCAGGGAGCTCAGTGAGGGGAGGGTCGATTGCATGGACACATCTGAGCTGTTTGTCGACGTATATGGCGACTCCACCTCCTTCTTTCAGATCCCTATCTCGTCTGACTAGGACCATATCATTTATACTGACTTCGCTGTCTGCCACCGTAGGGGTTAGCCAGGTTTCCGTCAGTATTATGATTTTTGAGTTCAGCTGTGATTGTAGGTATCTAAGTTCAGCTATTTTGCCTCTTAGCCCTCTCACATTACTGTACAGGCAACTGGTAGTCAGTCTCACCACTTCCCCGTATTGGGAGGTGGTTGACGTGATGTGGGCTGTCGGTTGAGGAGTTATCCTACGAACTAGTCAGCCGATCCCCCGGGAACCGGCCTGTTGGCGTTTTTTTCTTCTGGTTCAATCGGAGCACTTGGATGACACTGGCTATCATCGTCCGTGCTGCACCGCTGTATTGTGACTAGGGGTTGGGGATGTTCTATGACAACGTTTTGTTCTCTCCTTTGGGTACGAGGCCGGCTCTCGCAGCAGCGAATGTGTCTGCTGACCTTGTCCTTGGTCTCGTACCATCTCTGGAGAGCAGTAGTCAAGTGGTCTCGGGAGCTGAACTTGACAGCTAACAGACGTGGAGTGTTAGTTGACATAAGGTGAGTGGGTCGAGGCAGTCTATAAATAGAGCCATCTGGGATGCCAACCATCTCCATTGTTGTACATCGTGACAGTGCTTCTCACAAGCGTTCCCAGTTACCAGTTCGGGAATGCCGTGAACAACCATTGAGGCAGAAGGAATAAGCTCTGGCAACTCCCTCGCCATCTGTCTTTCCTTCCATGGCCTATCTGGCCTAACACATATATTGCAGGTCTTCCCTATAGAAAGGACTTGGGAAGTCAGTAAAACTTTTTCGGCATCCTCGGTAGAGCCCAGTGTTACCCTCAGTGGGGATGGTTTGCCTTGAGGAGCAGCAGTGCCCCCATACAATCTGCACAGTTTTACTGGTTGGATGTCCAGATCCAGTGTGCTACATAAGTTGGACCACTGTTCCTGATCAAACAGGGCCCTGTTTTTCAGCAGACTACTGCTACAGTCTGGTACATTAAAGAGGATTACGCAATTTGATCTACTAACCGTGAATTTAGGTTCGGTCCTCGCACATTTGTCATCCCCTTTAAGACCGTCTTGTTTCGTCTGGTGCGACTGGGTATTATTGTGTGTCACAGTGCCGTTATTACTGGTGGACGGTAAGGGTCTTTTCCCAGTGACAGATACCCCTGGTGCTTCAACCTCTGTGTCTGGGGCAGTTATGGCAGGAATTGCAAGTATAACCGGTGTGGAATTTGGTATCCCCGATTAACATGCAATTGTGCTGTTTTCTGAGTTGGTTAGAGTAAAACGTTTCACGTTTTTTCCTGATACCTCTATGCCATCTTTAGCTTTCGAGGAACTGCACGAGGCTGCATTAGGACGGCAACTTGGGCATATGTACCAGAACCATGGGCATGGGTTCTTACGCATAAAATCATAATATACCTTTGGTACCCCGGTGTCACATCTACAATGTACCCATTGCTTACAAAAGTTGCATTCGAAAGCAGAGTCTACTTGTTCGACAACAGAATTGCAGACCTTGCAATCGTCTGCCTTTTTAGGGAACGTTTTCGTCGTCTTGCGACGTTGTGAACGTTTCTTATTGGCCTTCCTGTTTGTTTCAAGGCCTACTGTGGAT